GTAAATCAGTGGAAGTGTTAGGGGGAATTTGCGCAATTTACAAAAATTTGACGCCTTGCACATCGACGGGCCGAACTTCGATTTTCTCTTCATGGGGCAAAATCAAATTTGATGCGAATGTTCGACGGGCAACAAGGCTTGTGCGGCGCGAAGCGAGAAATAGGTATGGGCAGGCCTGTCCAAGGCGATATTATCGCATTACATGGAAATCGAATTGATACGCACCAATTTTTCGTGGTGGGAATAAAAAGCATTCCTGGTCTCATCAAAGTTGGCAAACAATGAAATGTCCAGCAGTTCTGAAAATGGGGGGTTTGCTTTGCAAGAAATATTCGGCCCAATACTTCAACGTACGAGCGATACGGTCGGGAATTCATCAGCCATGGCTCTCCTCTTGGTGGCGAGGCGTGTCGAGAGTAATGTGTGCGCGGAGAGTGCAGTACGGCTCGGCGGGTGCAAAAGTGAATATCGGCAGGTGGCGGGAACTGAACAGGGAAATCCTCGACGAGCCGCTCGCCGTTTTCCTCGACGATATTCAGACCCTGCGCTCCCATAGACGACACTTCTGGGAAAAAGCCGACTTGTAACAGCAAGAGAAGTCAAAGGTTCACTGGATGGTTGCGCGCAGTGAAGGATGGGCTTCAGAAAACTGTCGCCATGGAACATTAATATTCGGCAGCTCCGAGACATCAGAAAGCTAAGGGCTGAAAATGGAGAAAAGGAACGCCCTCTGATGAAATTGACGCTGGATTCGATGTCGGCTGTGGATAAAACGTTCGAGTATTTCATCGATAGGGTAGATTTTGAAATATTGAAGGCGATACCTTTCGAAACCTTTTACAGCATACATATCTAGAAAAAAATCAAATGAGAAAAACGTTTAGATGAAATTGCTCGACGAATGTGGCTCGTCATAAACGGGGCAAGACCGACGATTAGCATAACAGTGAAGCGTCGAACAGTATAACGGTTTCTTTATGGAAGGTGGGTTCACCACGGAAAAGCATTTCCTCAGAATGACGGATATAAAAGAAGATACTTCAAGGAAAAAATGCTCGAATCTGAAAAAATAGGACCTTTTAGGACCGTCAAATTTACGCACTGCGAGCGAGTCTCATCGATGACGTCAGTCTGTATGCGATGAGCTCTAGCTCTGGATCTATGCTATGCAATAAGTCCGCGTGTTAGAGTCGAAGCGAGGGATTTCCGCCGCCGAGCGGCGGGTATACCGCCCTGTGAAGAGCTGGGAGCGTATGCCAAGCGAACATCTGCCCATATCAAGGGACCGCCTCAACCTAGTGAAAGGATAATTTGCTGACCTTCGACTTTATTAGCGGAACCTCTTCAAAAACAAGTAAGCGATGAGCCCTTCGCAGCCGAGCTCCATCTCGTGAAGTTTCGGAGACTGTGGGAAGGCAGATCGAACAGTTACGAAAGCACAGTCTAATCACCATTCAACATGAATCATCAGTTAAATGGGTTCGCTCAAAGAGGAGCTATATATTTCCCCACCCCCCTCGTTAGCGATATTTAAGGCATATCGCATTTTGCAGGGGTTGAATCAAGACAAGAGCTGACACCTCGACCATTTCCCATGAAACTCCTTATTTATGGTGCTTTTTTAGCAGAAACAATAAATTTGCAAGAAAAGAACAAACACGTAAAACACTAACGATTATGTGCGCCCTAATATTTTTCGGCCACCCTCAACCACCCTACCGAAGCTTTGGCGAATAAGCGGCCTGAGCTCCAGCGAAACTCGAAAGTCTGCCGTGTCACCATTCAGACTTGACCCATGGAGATCAATCGGGTTTGAACCGAGCATTGGGACAGATATCAAATTGGCTAAAGCTGCTTGCCCGCCCCGCCCTTTAACGACTTTAAGCGAAACCGCCTGGACCCGTCGTGAATTGACCCTTAACACAACCCGTTTCCCTGTTGAAGCCTTGCCAAAAGTGGCTCCCAATATGACGTTATTCGCCCTGAAAAACTGCTAAATGATCAATGTGGATGAGTTCCAAGTGGGCACAACATTGGTTCTGCCAGCGAGGAAAGGCAACAACCCTCCATGCCATGAAAAACAAAAACAAAATTCTAAAATTTAACAGCATTTTATGAAGCGCGGCCAATACCCTGTCAGATTCCGAAGCTGTCCCACTGCGGTTGTAGTTTACGTGCCATCAATGCGAGACATCCGCTCCTGAAAAGACTCTTCGAGGCGACGAGCAGAGCGGTCGGCAAGGCAAAAATAAGTCCAGCGGTTGTTAATTAGAGCTTGGATTGGCTAGAGCGCACGCCATTTATAGCCAAGCTCTCGTACACGATCATAAAATCCCTTAGCAGACCTGCAAAATAGTGCGAGGAGGTTGAAGGACTGACTGAACCACATGGGAGAGCTCCTCGGAACCGCCTACTCAGGGTTAACCCAGGGTCAACTCAACTCAGGGTTCGTCTGGGCGAGTCAGACGTGGGAGTCATATTTTGTGGTCTGGGGGAGTGAGTCGGAAAAAATGGAGGTATTCCTGTGAAACATGGGAAAAGGAACTGTTGCCAAAGATTGAAAAAGCTTGGAAAAAAATTCAAAAAAGACGAAAGTGTGTCAAGTTGTACCAAGTTCAACAGGTACAACTGCCATTATAGACCATTCACGAGAACCTCTCGACGTAGCCGAGCTCAGAAAATGGTGGTGAATGCGAAAGTGCAGTTAGGATATGAGATAGTAAACCTGTGAACCCCATGGTAAATCTAAGTTTGAGGTAAGGCCGTGGTACCTACAACTTCTAGGATTTCAGTGATAGAGACATCTTGGCACAGTTCCATGGGAGGTAAGCAGAAGTTCTAGAAAGATACTCGTTAACATATTATCCTACTATATATATCGGCTCACGGGTTGATGAAGTGTGTGTCTGAATGTGTGTATGTTTTGTCTGATTTGACCGAAAATCATAGGTCGGGCACCAGTGGCTCGTGGAGTTTGCGTTTCGGATATGATAAAATAGGGGTGGGAGGGAATATTTGGTGCTGGGCTTGTGATAACGACTGATAAGGGACCTGATAAAGCGTTAGAAGCAAGTGTCGCGAAATTCATAGCGCTCGGCACCAGTGCGTCGTCAGGATGTTGGTCGAGATAGATATAGGGAGGGGACGGGAAATATTGGGGCAGTCACAAGTGGATAACGACTGTAAGTGTGTATAAGGCCTAGAACGCAAGTGTCGCGAAATTCATAGCTCGGGCACAGTGGTGCAGGAGTTGCTGTTAACGAGATATGATATACGGGGTCGGGACAGGGAAACATCAAAATTGGTAGGTCACAAGTGATAACGACTGCATAAGAGGACTGATAAAGGACGCTACGATACGCAGTTCGCAAAATTTCATAGTTTCGGGCACAGTGGTCGTCAGGAGTTGGTTCGCAGATATGATAATAGGGGTGACGGAACCATATTTAGGTGGGGTCCAAGTCTAACGACTGATAAGGGCTGATAAAAGAGCTTAGAACGAAGCGTCCGAAAATCAATAGCCGAGCACACAGTAGGTCTCAGCGAGTTGGTGTCGAGATATGATAGCGGGGGGACAGGCAACATATTTTGTGAGGGCACAAAGTGATAACGACTGTAATGAGCAGCAATGGGCGCTGAAACAAAATTTTACAAATTCCATAGTTGCGCTTCGCAAGCGGTCGTCAGGCGAGCTGATTTTGACCGTATAGGGGTGGGACACGAACATGTTTTGTGGAGGTCAAAAGTGATCGGCAGATGAGGACTGAAATTAACGATAGCGTACGAACGTGAATGATCGAAACAGATGCCAGCAAATGCATTTCTTTTCAATGTCATTTTATCAGCGTATTAATGTAACTCAAACACCTTTTCGACTCTACACCTTCTAGAGTTCTCGAGGATGAAGGGCATTTCACTCTAATAATTGAATAGTGAATACTGGGCATTCCGTCTTGAGATTACCGAAATGGTCGACCGCATGAATTTTTCGACGCTAAATTACCTCGATACTCGATCGCATAGGCGTGTTTACATCATTCACTTTAGATGTGCACTTCTGCGAACTTTAACACCAGATGAATACACGCCAGTGGGCACGCGACAGTAAGGCATTTAACGATAAGAGCTATAGTAACGTGAACCCAAGCTTCCGATTGTCAGTTTTGTCAGAGGCCTTCGTTGGTCAGTGCGCGCAGGTAGCGGCCGGATGCTAAACTTGGTTATCATTAACAAATTGCGGAAGCCATAGGAAAAAAATGCGTTTTTTTACTGATTTACCCAAACAGTCAAGAAGCCTGGAAGGGGCTTTTTCATTCTCACAGGCAGCAGAACACGGATCTTGACGTCACTCCGCCATCTAGCTTAGATCTCCAATAGACGACAGGCAACCAATGCATTTACGCCATTCACATCGAAGGACACCAGGGTTGAGAATCTGCGTTTATTGGAAAGCACGAAGTCACGTTCAGCACGAGTAATGAATTCAATGAGACGAAGGCGCTCTTCCAGCAATCGACTAACTGCAGCTGCAGTTACTCATTCAGAAATGCGAAGGAGTTCCTCAGCTACTAGAGTATTATGGCATATATAGCACTAGAACAGGAAACCGACGTGGAAACGAAGGTAATATGATGGGAAAAGTGTGCATGCCTTCTGCTGTGGAAATGCCCGTTAACGAGGAAAAGACATGAACGATAACGTGTTCTACTTAGTTCCTGTTGAAGCTCTTGCGAGGTGCATTGGGAGCTATTGAGACGAAAATTTAGAAGCTCAATTAAGTCTTTCCTCCAGTATCGGTACACCCCCCCTCGTTTCCGACTCTTATATAGTAAGCTGGGTCTTTGCTTGCTACGATGTGCACCATGAACTTTGAAGACGAGTAGACTTTTTCTTCCTTTTTTTTCTCTCTCAACCTCTCTCTAACTGCTCTTGAAAAATATCCCCCGGTCCTAATCAGCACACTCATTTCTCACTTCTTCTCATGCTTATTCCTTTTATAGCGGAGGCGATGCCCACTCATGGTCCGGAAACCCGACTCGAACCCCATGGCTATGTGTTCCATGCGCTATCGGTCCCTATAGGACTAACTTTATCAGGTTTTTCTGGAGGGCAAATTCTGTGCTGTACTTCAGCTGGATGTCGAAATCTAGTGACCATGAAAGAAGGCAGCCAAATCTCGCTACATTTTTTAACACAACAAGAATGCAGCCTCTAATAAAATTGGTCAGCATTGGGAGGGGAGGGTGGGGGGCTTTTGGCAGTAAACAGCTTGGAGAAGCCTTTGGACCCACGGTGGCATGAAGGAATCCATGATGATCCATTTACATTGATGATTTGAATATTTTCAACACTCCGAATACTAAGGGAGCTAGAATCCATGTATGCCCTGTTTTCGAAAGTAGATGCTCTCCGATTGCAGACAACACAGCACAAATGACGCCGGCCTACACGAAATGTCAACGTTTTCTGCCAGTGGCATGATTAGCCGCTACGTTTGCATTCTAGAACTTAATACAGTTCATTTATCAGCTATCAGCTATCGCTATGGATCAGTGGTTACCAGGTTCACTCGGAGACCGTCGTCAGTTGCGGTGTGTGATGTGCGCTCGAAGCGCATCAGGTTCTCGGAAGCAGATGGTATGTGTCATGGACTGGGCCAGAAAACAGCGTAGAATCGATCAACTGATTGTGTAAGGAGAAGGGATTATTCACCTATTCATCACACTGATACCGACCGGATGGAAGCATGTAATACAAAGCTTTCCGAAACGCAAGCGCTGAGTTTGTTTATAATCCATTCGTTTCCGGATAATACCATACATCCAGAAGTACTCAGATTACGATAAGGATTGATCCGACCGAGGTGCAATATTGCGATTACACAACTACCTTTATCTCAAGTGACATGGCGCGCTAAATCAGCGAAGCAACCGCTCGCGTCACGATCCACAAAAGCACAGTAGAGAAATGCTACAAAAACATTCGGAGTAAAGGGCTTCGTTCCGACAAATTTTCTGATATCTGCCACGGACGCTCGCCTCGCCTCGCCACTCGAGCCGTGGGCAAAGAGGAAGTGTTTCGCCTTGAGTAAGTGAAAGCGAAGGAGCAAAAAGTTCAAGACTGCTGGCTCAAACGGTCCAATAGGAGCTATGACCACGCAGCTGCAGCCAAGCGCACTTAACCAGATGAATCTGGCGGTGGCAGCATCAACTCTCCCTCATTCTCGTTGAAACTTGCTGAAAAACAGTCATGAAATGATCGGAATAATATCGCTTTCTTCATGAGCGCGCTACTGATTGGCGATGTCCCATTAAACCAACATATATAGCGATTTTCCGGCATATGACATTATATTTATTGGCTTGAGAAGAAACGTATGTGACAGAGCACTGCGACGTGGAAAAAGGAAGCTGGAACGGCCACCTGGGGGCCGTTTTCCTCTCTTGAGTGGCATAACATGTGGAAAATTTTCACAATCGTGGAAAGCCTGTGGGAAGCGAGAGCGTTGCCGAGGCATGGAATTCTAGAGCCGATTGCAATGTAAGAACTACTCGTGGTTTGCTACTTATGCATTAATGAAGAAGCATTTGCATTTGATACATTAGTGAGAAGTGCAGCTTTGCACGGCCAAGAGAAGAACTGCAAGCAATCCAACACGAATCCGACGAATAGGAGAATTCAGGGTTTTCGAATTTGGACTTGGGAAGGCAGAGTAATTTTCGACAGCCGGAAATAGGAAATCGTAAAGCAACACTTTTTAAACAATGTTGTAGCGTCGGTAAGGCAAGGATCAGGCCGTGTCAAGTATCTAAATTCGGGAGTACGCGCGCTGTGTCTCTTCGCTCCTCTACCCGATTCACTGCCCACCGTCTACCTTTCCAGAGCCCTAGGAAAGTATATCAACACAACAAAAGTTCCGTAAAAAAAGCGCTGCTTTTCTTCAAGCTCTGGAAATGCGAGTTCCAGAAAGCACCAAGCCCAACCAATGGCACCTTCCCGCAAACTAGAACTAACCGGAAGTTTCGTGACAAAAAGTGGTGAGACGTGGGTGGTAGCGGCAAGTAGCGCCGCAACCACAAACTTTGATAGGAAGTTGTCAAGGTTACTTGAGCCTTTCTTGGCGGGTGTTGATTGGTTGGGTATCGAACTAATCTAGGAAGGCAAATCTATTGACTTGTAAACACATCTAGTGCTTCTATGATTCTGAATGAAGTCGGAAGCGCGGCGCCTCCAAAAAAAGGGTTCATTCAACGCCGAAATCCTTGCGCTGCCATGCTCATCAAAACAAAGGGGCAGAGAGAGCAGCGAAAGTACAATCATCTACCTTTTAAGTACTTTTTATCGAAAACACTGACTCCAATTGCATTGGACCAAACGCTTCACGGAAAAGCGTCGGGGCTCAGAAGATCGTGCAGGCCACAGGAATTACCGAAATCACGACAACCGTACAGGGCTTCAAAAAACTCGAACAGTCGTATACCTTCGCGAGGACCGCCGACATATGGAATAGGACTACAGAACACAATATAATGCCAAGAATTATGCGAAAATACGATGAGGAAAAGAAATCGGCAGCTCCAATTAATGGCTCTACTTCTGATCGGTGCGGATTAAAGCTCGTTTCAATTGCAATCAGAAAAAAATTTTGTAAATAGCATTCCTGAAGAGTGTTTCAATGATAGAAGTAATAATACAGTTCAAATATCCTTTTATTCTTTTTTGGCAAAAACGAAGTGGTGTGAAGGAAGTATTGATCGAGAAGTAATAAAATCATCAGAAAAACTGAGAGGAAGTGTTAGAGAGCTAACATAATCGAAGCAACTTAGAACACTAGGAAGGGTAAGAATCTACTTTATCCGCATATGAAATGGAAAAAAGTGACAATAGTGGCTATGACTATCATACATGCGCCAAAGGCTGCCTCATAGCCTTAGGACTGAAGGAGAGCCACGTCCTCTTAGCAATAGGCCCTGACTTGGATCAAAAAATCGCAGAAGTTATAAATGGTTAAGGCAACCATAAGATCTGAGCAGAAGAGCTCCCGCACTGTTTGGACTGTTGTGAACAAACTTTGGAGAGTCAGTTGATTGCATAAAATGCCGATAGGTAAATAGCCAGAAAGTAGGTAACAGGTAGTCTCAGAATAATTGCTTAAGGGATGGTCGAAATCTTGATCTGAAGATGTATTAGCTTAATTTAAGGGTCCATGAGGATCTGTAGACCGAAATCATTGGAAAATACGATGAACGTTCATCAAATAAGAAATCAGAACATCGTTAATCATAAGTGAAGCTTGAAGACGAACTTAGTCACTTGGGGGTAACTTGCCCTAACCTTGGCCTCTAATCCCAACTTCAGCTTTGCCGAACGTCTCAACTTCTAACATCGGTTCAACGGACCAAACAATCACCTAAGGGAACGAACGCGCGTATTCGCTTGGCATGAAGCACTCTAATCTCACTGAACTAACCATAGTCGAGCCTTGAAGAGTACGAATGAGAGATCCAGGAGCTAAAGGTACTCGGAGTCACAGGAAAACGTAGGAGGAGTAGAGCTTCTCTGAAATCTGCAATTTCTTAGAGCGACGTCGACGAATCATCGAACGTCGGCAGCGCGGAGATGGACGCTTGTCCATACCAATTAGACTCGACGCAACTTGCCATGAAAGGAAGTACTTGCCGCGATTTCCAACGGCCCCGTCACGTCTGACGGGGATTTCGAGGGTGATACGCTGGCCATAGTCATTCAGGGTGACAACTGAGGGTTTCGCTGGCGCTCATTTGATGAGGGGTGGGTCGGGAAACTCCGTGAAATCCGGGGCTCTCATAAGCGGACAGGCTAGGAACTGTAAGACTTCCACCCCTAGCTTTCCCTTCACCACTTCTTGACGATTGAAAGGTCTCTCGACCGCTACCCAGTTCCCGTTCCCCCGAAGGGTTCTGCTCTCCTGCTCCATAATTTCAAAGACGTTCGCACAGCGGGTAAAACTTGACCTAGGGTAATTTATCCTGTTATTGAAGAGGCCGAGAGTTGGGGGGGGGGGAAGGTGATTTACGAGATGAGTGCGGAGACCAATTTTCCTGGCGGACCTTCTCACCCGTCACCTGTGCACAGCTGAACTTATCAGTGAAGGTGGAGACCATCGAGTTGTTTTCTACCAGAAACTCTCGCTCAGTCCGATCAAGGAGCCGCAGAAATGAAAGAGCTTCGTGAAGCAGTGAAAAGCTCTCAGGTCTGATGAAGTGCCCTGCCGTGGCACTTGTTGGAGCTCTCTTACTATTTGAAATGGTCGGCAAAATTGGAGGGTAACCTATCGGCTAACCCTCAGTAATAGGAGGAAGATAGCTTTCTTGATGCCTAATAGAAAGTTTAGACGAGCGAAAAGGAAGAGCGAAAGCCTAGCCCCGCCACACTCATCTCTTCGACTCCACGTCAACCACTTCAAGCAAACGAGAAAAGGCACTCAGGCCCTCGAACCCGGTCGAACGAATGGCGCCGAGGACGCACTGAGGTAGACAAAAAAGCATGAAAATGATTAGTTGATAATCGCAAAGCGGTCTTTCGTGTTATTTTGTGAAAAGTGGCAGCAATCGGTTTCCAGACGACTGACGTCAGCAAACGCTGAACGAGTCGAGCGGAGGGGAGGTGCCACACAGGAAATCACCGGATTTCACGCCATTTCCGTTTGAGCTGAGTGTGGAGTGAGAACGAAATGAATGAGCGGAAACTCAGCTCACCAAGTGGCAACACCTGAGCGGATTCCAGCCGGGATAATGATGACCCAGCTCAGCTGGAGGGATGAAGCCACTCATCAATTCCGAACAGCGGCAACGAAGTAAAAACCTAATAAGAAGAAGCCAATCACAACATTGTCTAGCGTAAGAGATGCTATTTATGTAGAGCGCTTTGCACTTCGGAGTGCGCCGCGCACTTGGTTTGCGTTCAGAATTGAAGAGACAGGGTTCATTTGCGTTTGATCTACACGATCGCTTGACGTTTGGGGGGGGGGGAGGGCACTGTCCTTGGTATAACCCTGGTGATGAATCTGTGCTAGGAGCCTCAGACCTACCCGAAAGAAATATTAGAGGGCTAAAAGAGTTCAGGGCCCAATAAGTTCGTTGATTCTTTTGATGTGTTCAGTTATTACCTCTCATAAATTTTTGTTATGCTTCAGTGGCTCTCTTAAAACGTTGCACGAATAAACTGCGCACTTTATTGCCATCATTCACGTTTCGAATGCGAAGTAGAGGGCATGGCGCCATCCTTCTCCGTAACACATTATAGTTCCTATGCTGCAACCTTTGCTGTGACTTGCACACGCTCGGTCGACAGCCTTATTAATATAAAAATGACGGGTGAAAGGGTTTAGTGTTGTTCTGATCTGTTTCCTGGGGGCGCCCACGCATTTTCATATTAAAGAATCCTTCGGCGGAAAAATAGTGATTCTATCTCCCATAATTCACCGGCTGAATCCATACGTTCATGATAAGAACGGGAAAACAGAAAAACTACAACCTTTTGAGTAAAAAAAATTCCGAAAACCAAGCGGCTGTACGCGTTCAAAGGTACCGCTCGGACATCTTTCCAAAATGCTGGCGACAGGAATGCTTCCAGTATATTCTCGGGGATGTGCTTTCACTAGAAACACGTTTTGGTCTGTTGATCTATTTGCATTGACATCTCATACTTCTACTGATATCTTCTATTCTATTAGTCGTTGTCCCTGCTCTCCGAAATCGCGCGCTTGAACCCGATTCTTCTTGGGCCTGATACGTAGCCGCCCGCACACTTCTTACCATGCCCGCCTCTGGCTCGCGCGCGATTGTCTTCGTTGTACCATAGAGTGGTGTTGTTTGTAAGTTTCGTTTCCCACGGAAAGCGAATCTATGTGGGTGAAACTTTGTTTGTTGTCCCTAAGTGATCAAATCACCGTATGCATGTTGAGGGTTAGATGCAAGATTTTTCCGGGTGAGGATTCCGTTGAGATGGAGCACAAATTGCTCAAAACACTGTAAAGGGTTCGCGTGATCAGGAATCTAATAGGGATTACGCAGCATTTTCAAACAGGGGTGCAAGCAACCTTGAGGGTAGAAATTTGAGGTGGGCCTATAAATGAATGAACGCAGTGTATTACCCATAGTGGCTAACAAAGGTGTATCCACTGCGTGGTTGACGCTATAAAAAAATTAAATGAAAATATTTCGCTTTTGACGAACGCTAACGTATTAGATGCTGTGCGCGAATATCCGATACTCGTGCTCTAGAATGACTCCCTTAGACCAAGATCACATTCTCCCAAAGAAGATAAAGGATCTAATATGCCCGTCTCTACTTCATAGTTTTTGAAACGGAGGTTTCACGAATAAAGCTTGGATTCGAAGAACCCAGGCCGGCCTCCTAAGGGTGCAGGAGATTGCACGGCTTAGCAGCGAAGGGTCTAACAGCTACCTTACAGGAAGCTACTCCCACTTACCCGCCATTGCACACGCCGCCGATAAGGAACTCCTCGCCGCCCTGCATCTAGGCCGTTTTCAGCAGATTAGGGGTTAGCCGTTGAGAGAGTAGCGTCGATGTAAGTCGCATCAGTGCGGGAATCAACGAGCAAAGAACGTTCTCATACCTCTGCCCTGCACTACTTACCATCCCTCGCACTTTGATTTCTGATGGGCTGCCGTCATGAATCGTAAACTTCAGCCTTTACGCGAGGAATTTGGATTGCGCTTCTTTTGAAGACGTTAAATCCATTACGCCGACGATTGTTTGGTCTCATCCCCCATTCGGGAACCAAGGCCAGTAAATCGTTCTTGATTTGCTCATGTCTCACAGCTTTTTCAATTTGTTAAAATCAAAGCACGAGGAATGATCATATTCTTGACCTGTGATGTCCAATGACCGTCATTTTAAGCCGATGTTGGTATCGGCCCTCCACTGGGAACAAAGTGATCACTGTTGCATCTCATTCAACCTATGTTTTCCTCAAAATGAAAGATGATAGGTGTTTATTTGGATTTCAATAGAGGCAGATTCAGAGCCATCAACTTATTCTTGAAGACGTTGACTGGCTGGTTCCTTAAGTCATCTGTCCTCTGTGGATCAAATGTATGAGCTTTTTCTTTTCGTATTAAACCATGCGATCTCGTTGTATGTTCGGTTTCCAAAAAGCCGGCTTCTGCGGTCAGGCTACCTCCTTATCTGAGCAGACTTTTCTGCAGCACAGAACTAAAGCTTGGTTGGATGCCAGGTTGCATCCTACTTCAGTCAATCTGAGAGAGTTTTGTGGTTATCAATGATAAGTTTTCAAGAAGCTAGCAAAGGGCTAAGTATAATTCCTCTATTGAGTAAAAAGATCATAGAATCTAAAAAGCCTGCCCTTTTTTACAGTATGGTACAAGAAAAAAGTTGAAAAAAGACACTGCTGTTGTATCGCTTGTCGATGCTAATGGGATTAAATCCTTTGACAACCGCTCCAATGCTGAAATTCTTGCAGATCATTTTTCTAGTGTTTATTTTGAACCTGATGATTCTAGCTTCCCATGCTCCACTGTTGGGTGTACTTTTCCTGCTATGCCGGATTCTTTATGGTTTTCTAGGAGTGAGATTTATGAGCTGTTAACTAAATGGAAAAAGTCCTCTAGCCTTAATCCTGATGGTATCCCATTTCTTTTCATCCAAAAAGTTGCTCAAAATATCTCCTTTCCTCTGGAATTCATTTACAACTACAGCTTTATGCACTCAGATGTGCCCCTTCGATGGAAGCACTCCTTTGTTGTCCCTATATTGAAAAAACCTCCTTCATACGACCCAAAAAACTTTCGCCCAATCAGTCTTACATCGCTATTTGCTCGTGTCTTTGAGAAAATACTGAAGAGAAGAATTGTTCAGCACTTAGATGAACATTCTATAATCCCCAAGGAGCAACATGGTTTTGTCAGAGGAAAGTCTACCGAGACTCAGCTGCTAGAGTGCTTAAATGATTGGACGACTTCTTTAGATAAACGTGTGCCTGTAGATGTTATTTACTTTGATTTCGAAAAAGCATTTGATAAAGTTTCTCATTCCAAGCTATTGTTCAAGCTTCAAGAAATTGGCCTTCACCATAGAATAGTGAGCTGGCTCGGAGCTTACCTGAAAGGTCGGTCATATCAAGTGGTTGTCAATGGGTGCTTTTCGACATCCAGGCCTGTTCCCAGTGGTGTGCCACAGGGTAGTGTATTATCCCCCATACTTTTCAATATTTATACTCGTGATATTCCCCAAGTCGTTCAGCCACTAGATGTTACTTGTAAAATGTTTGCGGATGATCTGAAATTATACACAAGTCTTACGTCAGCTTCTAGCGCACTGACTCTTCAAACAGCTATCGATTCCCTGTGTCGTTGGTCCCTCGCTTGGAGCTTACCAATATCGGCTAGTAAAACCAAAGTGCTTCATATTGGGGGAAATAATGAAGGTGCGAAATATCACCTAAACGACAATGAGTTGGCTCCTGTTACTGAAGTCAAAGATTTAGGTTTTCTGTATAATGACAAACTAGATTTCACGCAGCATTGCAGGACGATTAAGAATAAGGCCACACTTCATGTACTCAATCTTTTTAGATGCTTGACCACCAAGAATCCTAAGGTTCTATTGAATGCGTATAAGACTTTTGTCAGGCCCATCGATCGTGTTTAAAATCTGTGAAGAAAACGATAGGTGGCTTTCGCAGGGAGTTCAGAATAGTTTCACTAGAAAGCTCATGATACGTCTGACCGGTTGGACTACCCGCGCTATCCCTCATAGTATCGAAAGAATAAAATCTTAGGACTCTCCACCTTAAGAGGAGGAAAGAAGACGAACGACTTAATATGGCTCACAGAATAATAAATGGTAACTATCAACTTAGAAAACGATTTTTTTTTCCAAATCACCACCGTCTAACACACCGTGGATCGAAATAAAATAGTGCTTCCATTAGCTAAAACGTCAGTGAGAGCTAATTTCTTCGTCACAGAGCGGGTTCGCAATACCAAAAGTTGAGAAGGCTCCTACTTTCCAAGTAATGTAGACTACTGAATACATTGGTACTGCCTTTCTCATCATGTTATCGTTCTTTTTTCTTTCTCCTTCTTTCCGCACATTGTATGTTTACTTTTCCTTTACGTGGCGTTTTAATTGTTGCTTTACTGTTGATACATGTCTGTGGCATGTAATAAACATCACAATCAACATACACATCCACGTGTGTTGACTGAGTTGTCCGAACCTGCCGTAGTACTTGCGCTTTATTGCAACTGGCTGGCAAATAACTGCTAGCGTGCAAATCCATAATACTTGCCAGCATCGAAATTGAAGCGCTCAACGGGTTCTTATGGAATCGACCATACAGCGCGGCGGTCACGCACCGATCGCTAGTCAAGACGCGGCTCTGGCACAGCGTAGTTGGATCGATCCGCCTCTTATATGGGTGATCGCCCTCCAAGAGGACTTCGACCCCTTCCATGGCGCATTTTAGAGGTGGTTTTGGAATTAAAGACATTTCCTAAATCTTTGATTGGCTGGGCATGTTTGACGCTAATGACAAGTAGTTGAAACCCTGCTGGACTTTTGGCTTTAAGCGGCTTTGAGTGATAAGTACATAAAATAATGAATCAATACAATACACAGATCAGTAAATTTAATGAGCCATACTAGCCAGGGGTACAACTTGTGATATTCTGACCGAACAGACGTGGAATAACAACGAAAAACGCTAATTAGTCAGAACGACCTGCAATGGATATCCACTAACTAAAAGCGCTTCGTCTGTCGTCTGTCGTCTGTCTGTCTGTCGTCTGTCTGTGTGTCTTCACAAGATTCCTAACTCCTCGGATCCGCCTGGAGGGCCCGGGTCGAGTGTGGATGGTGGGCAGGGTCCCACGTAATACAAAACACACATCCAGCTAAGCGGAGCCCCCGCCCACAGAGGCGTGGCGTGCGTAGAAATGAATTGTAGCCCCAAGACCAAGGATTTCAAATTTCAGTAGAAAAGGCGACCCTCGAAACTGGGCCAAAAGTGGGTTAAGGTGTGCATTGGTAAGTAACATCGAATTCGGAAAACCCACCCCCGTGGGCGGGGCGTTCTCTAAAAAAGCAGTGCTTTATAAAAAATTCCATAACTCGGTTTGGGAGAAAGCCTACAGGAAGAAAACAATTCGCGTGTAGGGAGCAATGCTAAGGTGTTCCCGATACACGACGTGGGCGAGGCCTGCCAGAATGGGCGGGGCGCGCTCTGAAGTGTAAGGCGCTTTTCTACAAGCCCCATAATTCGGGTCGGGAAGTCCTAAAGAGCCGGAAAAAGGGTGGATAGAGGTTGGTGGAGGAGTGGAGGTTAACCGTCCATTGTGGCGGGGCCTGACCCAAAGTGGGCGGAGTTTGCGACGAGAATTTATAACTCTGGTCCATGAGGCTCCGGAGACCTGGGAAAAGGTGATAGAGGTGAGTGGAGGAGTGGAAGTTAACTTGTCATTGGTGGGCGGGCCTGACCAAAGTGGGCGAGTTGCAAACGAAAATTTATAACTCGGCTCCATGAGGCTCCGCGAAGACCTGGGAAAAGGTGGATAGAGGTTGAGTGGAGGAGTGGAGGTTAACTGTCATTGGTGGGCGGGTGACCTGACCGAATAGTGGGAGGAGTTTGTGACGCGAATTTATAATCGGTTCCATAAGCTCCGGAGACCTGGAAAAGGTGGATAGAGGTGAGTGGAGGAGTGGAAGTTAACTGTCACTGGTGGGCGGACGCTTGCCAAAGTGGGTGGATTTGCGGCGACACTTCAAAACTCGTTCAGAAGGTCTGAGAGAGTGGGGAACAAAGAAGAGTATAGTTGGGTGGGAAGTGAGTCAGCGGCAATGGTAGGCGGCTTGGCATAAAGTGGGCGGAGTTTGCGCCGAAAATCAAAACTCGGCTAAGAAGTCAGAGGCTGGAAAAAAGGGATGTAGAGGTGGCGAAGGAAAGGCGGTCAAGTGCTATTGGTGGGTAGAGCCCGCACGGCGTGCGGAGTTTGCCGAAAAGTGTCGCGTGATTTGTTCCAAGAGGTCCCCAGAGACCGGTGAAAAAGGGGTAGAGGTCGGTGAAAAGAAGGGACCACATGCTTTGGTGGCAGGGCACCACCGAAGTAGACAGCAGTTCGCACACAAAGATTTATTGTCCGGGCCGAGGACGAGAAAAGAGGAGATAAATGTTGACGAAGAAATGAGACGGATAGAATTTGTGCGGAGAACTCAGATATTCGTATTGTATCAAGCAAATTTTGAAAATTTTCCGTCGGCACCACCCAAAATTTGCATAAGATCTGTGTTTGCGGCCAATGCGTGCGCGCGCACAACTGGTTATATTTTATCGTTCCTTGTACACATTGTCATCCCTAAGGTCCGTACCTACTTTTTACCCTAGCTGCGTTTCATAATTAATAATAAGGTCACCCGTACAAAATATTGATTTCCGGAACAAGCAGTCAACTGGTTTTTTTCCTACTATCACCAGTGATGAATTCCCCACCATGAATAACCACCTGATATCGCAATTTTTGGCTGGAACAGCTCTTCTTCTGAAACTTTTTTTTATAAATTTGTTTCGGTTTTTGCACCGTTTCATAATTTAAGTCACCTGGAAAAACAATTACCTCAGATTAATGATAGATAAAAAACGGACGTGATAACTATAGTTCTCCCCAAGGGCAAACACGGAATAGCCTCCGTGGCCTACTGGAATCAAGATTCCGAAGGCAGATGACGTCGATGTTACTATTCGTGCTTGCATGTTGCTGCCTTCAGCACTTTTTTTGTGAAAGTTCTTTGCTGGCGTTTATCCGCAAATAATCCTTCATGACGAAGATGCCCTAAAAATATGTCTGTTGTCTCCGCTAATTGTTTATTTCTCAGAGTTTCGAGAGAAATGTTGTCTTGTGGTTGAGTGTCCTAGATGGGTCATGTGCTGTTCTGCATGGACTTAGTTGGGACTACACCACGGACTTCTTCAGCTCAGGAAGTCAGATGTTTTGAAGGGCTCATGCTATATTTGAGTTCCACTATGCAGTTTCATGAAAGCGAAATTTTAACACACATCATTGCAAAAACACTACACCCTCCACATATCCTTAGCTAAAATTTGCAAAGTGCTGAAGTGATATCGGCCATCTTCGGACAGTCGATTGCAGAAGTCGTTTATATATTTAGGATTGTCCGTTTAACGCAGTTCTGTCCGGAAAAACACCGTGTTTCAGAAATTATATTGGCTGGGGTGTTGCGATGCAGCGTGCCTCAACCTTCGGTCAATCTTCTCTCTGCTGAGTTCACCTTTTGCGGGTTGAGTTGTGCTATGTCGTAATGACTCATAAGCTTTGCTACCATCTTCTTCGCTTCCTGCAATGTGGCGCATCTTTCCACCGCTCCGTAGTTCATATTTTTCAACGATATAACATGTAACTTACGCGCGACGGACTGATTTCAAGAAGGAATCTTATTTGAACAGGCGCCTCCATAACTCTTCGCCTCTAATCATCCATAGAGACCTTGAGGGTTCGGAAGTTGGGCAATATGTTTGGAACGTAGAAGCTTCCCAACTTTTTTTGAGTAGAGCTCGAACTGTTCCGACAATGCTTTGGAAAGACCTGATTCGTGCAGGAGCACCATGAAAGCGTAAACTTTACTTTTTCATCGAAAGAAGGATATACGATAAAGGATAATAAAGGATAAATGCATTGCCGTTGATCACATCCCTTTTGGATGCGGCACGCATTCTACTTCATTTGTACATTGTCGCAAGTGGCTTTTGCATGGCGGATGTGCTAAACAATGATTTGCGGGGGCAGCCGATGTACAAGTCTAGGTGTTTTTTATCCTCCCAGACAGTCTGTTACCCATTAACCGACTCCGGGGGGATGGAGGCTTTGTTGGCCCGGGCGACTCACGACCGCAGGATGTTGATCCTGACCGCTCGCGTGGTGCGCGCGGCCACTTGTCACTACAACACTTACGGCCAAATAATAAATAACAATACGACTACATCTGCATAAATTCAGCTAATGGTGTGTTTGTAACAAATTTTAGCGGACAGATTAGTTTTTTTCTGGTAATGTAGTATCATTTTCCACAGGTGACGTTATGCTATGAAACGGTGCAGAACCGAACATAATTTATAAAAAGGTAAGAAAGAAATGCTGCCCGCGAAATTATGATCCAGGGGTTTTTTTCATAGTGAGGCAATCCATGCTGGTAAAACTAAAATTACCAGTCTCTGCTTGTTTCGGAATGCAAAAATTTAGGATGACTATTAATTATGACAACGCACTCTATTTAAATCTTCATATACACAAAAAGAAAAACAGTAATGAAACACATAAAACCAGTTCGATTAGTATATAATGTTATCCAGTCAAGTAAAGGAAGAAATCATGCGGGTTTTTCCTGTTATTTAACTCTATGTATGTCACGTAGAGAGCCGCATGGCTTTCTGTCTGACTTTCGACAGGCACCAGTATGGTCGACGGTCTGTTTGATTGAAAACGCTGCCATTAAACCAGAGTAACCACATCGATTTATTTATGTGGACTTGTCTAACGCTTTCGATAAGGTTAACTTGCAAAAATTATTCAATAAGCTGGAGTCCCCTCGGAATTGGTCAGATTCTGTTGAAGAGGTTTGAATCCCTAATTTTATCT